CTTTAGTTTGATTAATAATCGATTTTTATTAATCACGTTGTATTATTATTTGAAAATTAGAAAAAAAGGGTAGAAAATTAGAAAACAAAACAAAAAAAAATAAAGGAATAAAACCAAAACGAAAAAAAATTTTTGAAAATTTAAATAAAAAAAAAAAAAGAAAGACAATTACAATTAATTTGACGATAATAATAATAATTGATCTTTTAAATTTAGATTTTATTTGAAAAATTAATTTCAATGAAAAACCAACTCTACCCACATTATTTATATTTGTTAAAAATAATTTTATAATTATCATATTATTTTCATTTTTTCGATTCAAATGAAAAAAAAAAAATATATTCTATGCCAGAATAAAAAAAAAAAAAATAAAAATTGGCTGAAAACATCAAATATTTTCAATTTTAACGAATCAAATTCCTCGTAAATCAAATAATAACAATAGTCTGTCTGACTGTGACTATGTTTTTTTATTTATTGTATAATAACAATAATTAAAAATAAATATTTGATTCAGGAATTTCGTTCGATTGAAGATAAAAAAAAAAAAAAAAATTTTCAGTTATATTATTATTATTATTTATTTGAATTTGAATTTAAATTATTATTATTATACTAATATTATAAATTGGTATTAATATTATCGTTACTTACCAATACGAGATCATTGTCGTTGTTATGTGGCTCATAAACAATATAATCGGATACAAATTGTGCACATCCTTGCCAATCATTTAATTCAGCATATGGTAATGAACTTCTCTTGATACTGACCGATACAAATTTCTGTAAAAAAAAAAAAAAAAAAATAACAAATTCAAACATAAGCTCATTTATGTTTTTTATTTTACTTTTTATTTTTTCTTTTTTATTTTTTTGTTTTTTTTTTTTTTTAATTTTAATTTAAATCAATGATTTTTGGTTTCTATGTGTGTTTGTGTGTGTGTGTTTTTTTTAACACGTTGTGTGTAAAAAAAACTATTATTAAAAGTATTCGAAATGTTGTATGTATAAAAAAAATAAAAAAAAATAAATGCAATGAAAATTGCATTGCAATGTTTTTCCAAAAACAAATTTTTCTTTCAAACGAATTTAAAAGTTAATTAAAAATGTGTTTATGTAATACTGTATACAAAAAAAAAATTGAAACAACATATTTGAAATTTTTTATATAAAAAAAAAAAAATGCAATAAAAATTCGTTGCAATGTTTTTCAAAAAAAAAAGAAAAAAAGATTTTTCGTATAAAACAAATTGAAATTTTTGTCAAAATTATATAAAAATGTTTATTTAGGCTCAGGGATCTTATAATTGTTAAAATATTAAAAAAATCTTTATTTTAACAATAATTAATAAATTTCAATTTTTTTTTTTTTAATATTAATATATATATAATTTATTATATATAATTTTTCAAATATAAATATTTGACATATGAATTGAAAAAAAAAAAAAAGGAAAAAAATTCTATTACAATTAATATGACAACATTCAACGTGTTATTATTTAATTTATTATCGATACGAGTAAAAATTAAATTAAATAGAATAATAATTAATTAATTAAACAAATATATATATATATATATATATATATATATATATATATATATATTTCGAAATTAATTTCAGTGATATAAATAATTAAATTATTAAAACAAAAATGATCTCTCTTCAATCTCATCGATAAAAGAATAATTGTATTAATTAATAAATTAATATTATTAAACGATAATTGAATAATAATATATTAATTAATAATTAGTAAATACTCTCGTTAATGTAAATATATATATGTATACAAAAAAAAAAATAAAATAATTTTTAAGTACTCGAATGAAAAATAATTTAAAAAAAAAGTACATAAGATAGCATATATATATATATACATACATATATATATATATATAAGAACAAATCTTGTACATTCATACCCAAAAATATATATATACATATATATAGATGATAAATATATTACAATATAATCGTTCAAAATAGTCAAATTTGTGAATAAATGCGAAACAATTGTTAAACCAAAGTTAAAACATTAAACAACAACAACAAGAAAAATAATATTAATAAATAGTTTAAAAAATAAAATTAAAAGAGTAAAAAAAAAAAAGACACAATAAAATGTTCAAAAAACAATAGTGTTATTGTTATAAGACTGCGACCATATATATATAAATATACTCTTTTTAAACAGACTAAACTAAAATAAATAAATAAATAAATAAATAAATAAAATAAAATAAAATAAAATAAAATGATGAACATTTAAACAAAGAAAATAAAATGATGAAAAGTGTATGCCAATGTATAAATGTGAAGTGAAAAAATACATTGAGAAAAGAACACGTTGTTTAATATATAAACAAAAACAATAAAAATAAACCAAGAGCATGTTTTTATTATAAAATGTGCATAGGAAAAATTTATTTTTATTATTTAGATAGTAGAATTGAAAAAAGGGTTGTGTAATTAAAGTGTAATGTTATTATAAACAAACAAAAACTAAATAATAATAATAACAAAAAGACAGATTCCTATTTAAACAAATTAAATGAACAATACAAAACAAAATAAAATAAAATAAAATAAAATAAAATAAAATAAAAACTGTTTAAGGTTATACAAAAAATATCCTCCGATTAGTTCAATTACAAAGATTTGTATATAAGTGTGTGTGAATATATGTATGTATATGTATTAATGTGAGATAGAGGAATAAAAAGAAAATACAGTAAAATGAAAGATTAAATAGTTTGTAAAAATAAACATTCCTCAAAAAAAAAAAAAAATACTGTAAACACATATATACATATGATTATAGATATATATATATATGTATATGTATGTATGTGTCCTGTGTGTGTGAACATAAGTGTGTATAATATGTTTAAAATAAAAGAAACACACAAATGTTCGTGGGTATGCCTTTTCAAATGATAAACGGATCTTCTCAAATGTATATGAAAAAAAAAAATAAATAATATTAATAATACATAGTGTATAATAATAATAATAATAATAATAATAATAATAATAATAATAATAATAATAGTAATAATAATAATTTTTATTTGTAAACGCGTGATTTAATTTTTATATCGAAGAATGAATGCCTTTTACAGCGTAAAGGAAAAATATTTATCAAAAGAAATAATTAATAATAATAATTATTAATAATAATAATAAAAAAAAAAAAAATTAAAAAAAAAAACCAACATCTGAGTTTTTAATACACAAATTAATTTCATTTGTTACAACCAACTTTCCACCTTTTTCCCTCCATTTTTTTTCTTTCTTAGTAATTAAGTAATTATAACCTCAATAAAATTGGTTTTTTCATATTAAGTAAACAAATATTATTTGTTAAATAATTATTAATATTTCGAGTCATCATCAAATTTTGCAATTCATATTAAACAATTTCAATTATTTCATTCTGAATATGTATATAAATTACTTTTCATATGATGATTCATTTTGTCCGTTAAAGTTTGATCAATAATGTGATAGAAATTATTTCTATTTTTCATAATAATAATAATAATTAAAAAAAAAGCACTAAAGATTAAAAATTTTGTAACAAATAATCTTTAAATAAATTTTGCCATTTATATTTTTAATATTAAATGACAACATTATGAAACAATTGAAGATGCACTTGGATATAAAGGTAAGTGTTGAATTTACATTAAAAATGGTATCAAAGATGGCGACGGAGGTATTAGTCAAACGAAATACTTTTAATTAACCAATTTGAAATTATATCAAATTCAAATAATTCATTAATTATATTCAAATCAATAAATTCATTAACAAATAATTATATATACCATATTAAAAAAAAAAAGAAAAAGAATCAAAACAATAACTAATATTATCATAAAAATCATGTGTTAAATATTTGTTTATATTGTATATGTGTGAAATATTTCATTAAATAATAATAATAATAATAATAATAATAATAATAATAATAATATTCGTTATTCTCACCTGTATGCCACATTCATTTTCACATGCCAATAAAATAGGTTTCCTTTTCTTATATTTAAACTGAAATTGTCTTCGAAAATTTTCAGCATACAATAATAATAATTTTTCTTTATCATTTAGGTTACAATAACTGTCAGGTAATGTTGATAAATAAACGTCTTCTCTGATATCCTTTTCCGGCCAACATAATCGAATTAAACCTAATTCACGTTGTATTGTTCGTAAAATATTACTAGTTATTGTTATCGTTGTTAATTTATCATCAAATTCGTTTAAATCTTCTTCCTCATATTGGTAATATTTGTCATCATTTTCAATTTGATTCTCGTAGTTGTTGATTTCTTTCTTTTCTTCTTCAAGATCAGAAATGGCGAATAAATTTTGTACAGGTAACATTTCACTTGATTTCTTATTATTTCTATTGAAATAAAAATCACTCGTTATAATCTGAATGTCGTTTATGTTAAAAATAATTTTTTGTTTTTAGGTGTCAAAAAGGAAACAAGAAAAGGACACATTTCTTTATACCGAATACGATTACAGACACACGTTACTGCAATAGTTTTAATGATACTAATCAAGAAACCACGTAAACAAATCTTATTGTCATGACAGTTGTGTAGTTGTTTGTCGAATTATTTGAAATTGGCGTTAATACTGACATCTACCGCATGGAAGTATCACTATATGGTGAGTTAAAATTTTTTACCCATTAGATAAATCTTCATTTACCATAGTAGTATTTCAAATAATAAACATATATTCATTTAAATTTATAGTTAAAAGACAAATATCATGAATAATTATTATAACAAAATATATAATAATAAACTATTTATGCTAAATATATATATATATATATATATATATATATATAAATATATATATACATATATATTTAACTTGTAATAACTTGTTATTATCTATTGATAAAAAAGAAATCAATTACATAATTTCTTTATAAACATTTATGGTTAATTTTAGGATGATTTATATGAATTCGTGTTGAGAATGCATAACAAAGATTCAATAAAGCAAGAAAAGGTCTGAGGTTTTAACAATGGTATAAAAGGGATCAAACAAATCATCACAGAAGGATGAGAACCACAGTAGCAAGAAAGAGAGAAAAAAAAAGAGGATAATTTGAAAATAAATGTTGAAAGATTTTTAAATTCATGGGATGGAACAAAATTGACTATTGTTGGTAAATAAAATCTGACAACCAAATACAAGATTAGAAGGATAAACCCCATAAAAAGGCCATTCCAACAAATCTTAGTATACCTGACTGTCAATAGAAGAATAATGATACAATTGTCGACAAATAAGTATCAATAAAATCCAAATATTTATAAACTTTCCTTAGAAAAAAGAAAGAAAAGAGAAAACAAATAATTATTATCAATTATCAAGAACCACTAATCCCAATTTAATTAGTTAATATTTTTGTTATATAATTAGTATACATACCACCAATAAAGAAAGATGGCGACAAATCGTGAGACGAGCAATATCAGCACACATCACTAAACTTTCATGAAGACTACAACCGTTCTGTCAAGAACGATACGAATGAGAAGAAGAAGAAGAAGAAATAGAAGAAGAAATGTTTGTTTTGAAAATTGACCTAATTGAACTAAGTAAATGAAAATGTCAACAGAAATAATTCAAATTCAACTCACCAATGAGAAAACAGATCACATATGTAAAACTTCAAAACAAAATCAACCTAGTAAATTGGGATTGGTAATATGACAAGTGGCTAAGGGTTGTGTTGTGGACTTATTTTCTCTAAAAGATAACCCAAGACAACAGAGTTCTACGCAACACACATCAATTTCGGACTGGCGTGTGCCGAGCTTGTATTTATGGTTGTAAAAGCAAGAATAATAATAATCATGTAAAAAGAACATGGGATAAAGAAGAAAGGGACTTTCAGGAATCTTTGATAAATGAAATACAGCTTTTCAAAGCACAATACAGATGGTAACAGATGGTGTTGATTGCTCTTTTAGGGATTCTTCTTTTACTCCTACACACCTTTTTAAATTTTGAAGAGCTCCTTTTTCAAACTTGTCAAAACATTCTTTTTAAACATCTATATATATATATATATAGTGTGGGGCAATATCTCTGTCCAATTAGAATATTGTCGTTGTTTTTAACAATATGAAAAATGTTATAAGCGCAACTTACACGGCATAATGAGGGGCATTTTTTGGCTTGAACATTTTTTGCGTGGGTGGAGGCATAGAAGAGATTTCAAGGTCACCTGCATTTTTTTAAATGAATATTATATTTTTTTTTAATGGGATATGATGGAAAATGTTGAGACGAATTCAACGAGCTATTATTCAAGGTCATGCGAGATCAAATATGGTAGAAAATAAAGTTTCTTACATTACAGAAGATGTTCGAAGTGGTGACCGTTAAAGCCAATGCAAAATTGTTATCTTCGTATTGCTGCATCGCGTACATGTCTTATCATTTCTAAACTTATGCTATTAAATGTTGCTACTATCAATTGGGGACTTTATTAGAAAATGTACCACTAAACATTGGCCAAATGATGTGGTTACAGCACGACGGATGTCCAGCACATTATGCGCAGAGTGTAAGAGATGAACTGAATTAACTTTACCCAAATAAATAGATAGGACGTGGAGGAGTAGTTTCTTGGCCAGCTTGCTCTTCCGATTTAACCCCACTAGATTTTTTTCTGTGGGGAGCATTGAAAAATACGGTTTACCAAGAAGGACCCATTACACCAGAAAACATGAAAGAAAAAATAGTTGCAACATGTAATAGCATAAGTTTAGAAATGATAAGACATGTACGCGATGCAGCAATACAAAGATTACAGCTTTGCATTGGTGTTAACGATCACCACTTCGAACATCTTCTGTAATGTAAGAAACTTTATTTTCTACCACATTTGATCTCGCATGGCCTTGAATAATAGCTCGTTGAATTAGTCTCAATATTTGCCATCACATCCCATTAAAAAAAAATATAATATTCATTTTAAAAAATGCAGATAACCTTAAGATCTCCTCTATGCTTCCACCCATGCTAAAAACGTTCAAGCCAAAAAATGCCCCTCATCATGTCGTGTAAGTTGCATATATAAAATTTTTCATATTGTTATAAACAACAACAATATTCTAACTGGACAGAGATATTGCCCCACCCTGTATATGTATATTATAATTATACAGTAATGTATATTATAGTTGTAACTATATATTATTACGTTAGGTAATTTATATTATTATAGTAATTATAATATATATATTATAATTATACAGTAATTTATATTATTATAGTGACTATAATATATATGTATATGTAGGAGAGTTTTAAGTGTAGCAGAGGTAGACAAAAACATTAGTATTCTGTCCTTTCTGTATATCTTATTTTATTGAAAAGGAAAACTCTATTCAGACTAAAAGAAAAGATCATAAAACCATAAACGAACCCTTAAGGATTATCAGGATATATTGGTGCAATAAAAAACCATGTGTGCAGGGTCAGGACCCTTTGAAGAATTTCAGATACCTGTGTAAACATATGCGATACTTTAAAAAGGGCAACTTTTCGATGTGCTAGATTAAGTTTCTGTATGTATAGTTCCCACTACCGAAAATCATAGGCTGTACCTGTCGGTGGACTATGGGGTGGATCCTTATGCTATTGGTCAATAAGATTTGTAAGCTTCTTCGCTTTCAAAAGGGGTGTAGGTTATTTCTAATATGAAAGACGTGAAAAGAAATAAGAGAGGAGCAGTCTCAGTCGTAGAAGTAGAGCAGTAGTCACAGTAACAACAGTCACAGTTGTATTATAAGTCGTTATCAGTTGTAAGAATACAGTCGCTCATCTAAGTGGTAACCGTAAGATTGTGAAACTAATATTGTACTTTTTCTAATACCTGTTTTAAATAAATCTTATTAGTAGGATTAAACTGGGTGTATGTTCACCACACACCTCTCACCCTAAATAAATTTCCCTAGATGTATATTATAATTATACAATAATTTCTAATTATAAGAAGGTTAAATTTACATTTTTAAATATTCATAAATAATAATACTTATGAAATTGTTGAAATTGATAATCATATAACAGAGAAATATTAACAATGAAAACTTTTAAACAAATGAATCTTTAAATAACTGTAAAATTGTGCTTTCAATATTAATTACAAAAAATAATTATGGAATGATTAAGATGCCTATTGAAATACATTTTATAAATGGCGGTACGGATGACCGTAAAAATGGTGCTATGGATGACCGTAAAGATGGTGCTATAAATAACCGTAAAAATGACGATACAAATGTGAGAAAATCGACGTATTTATCAACATAGGATAATAAAACAATTTCAAATATTTCAACAATTTCAATATATTACATATTTCATTTAATAATAATAATAATTATTATTATTATAATAATAATATTACTGTAATATTTTCTTTATTCTCACCTGTAAATTTACGTAATTTATTTTCACATGCCAAAAAAGTATTTCTTTTGACTCAACACTAATTCTTAATCAAGTTATTCATAAAATTAATTTGTCTTATAATTCTTTGAAATCTTTCTCGATTTAAAATCAGAAATATGAAATTAATGTCACACATGTAATATGTTACTTCAGTCGTTTATGATAAACAAATTTTTATTATCATCAGAAAAGAAAATATATATTTAAATTTATGTAAACAAATCGTATCCAATAACACAATTAAAATTGTCAAACTATTTGAAATTAATTTTAATATTTTAATCTATCCCGTTTGAGTATGGAGGGTACAGGTAAGGAGTATCATCTCATACAGGGAGAAAATTTGAAAAAGTGTTCAGCGTATGTTATAAATAATAGTTCAAAAAATTTCCAGAATGGCGCTGGTGTAGACAAAAGGCATGGTATGAATGTAACAATTGTAAGCGAATTGAAGTATGCCGAGTTAAAAGATTTAATATTATTGGCGACTAAAGTAGTTAATTGTTGAAAATTTCAACTACTTGCGTAGTACAAAACAATGTAGTAAATATAATCATAAAGAATTATTATGAGAAAACGTGTAGCTAGAGTGATTTTATTTCGTTAACTGTGAATAGTACGTTTATTGATTTTTTATCATTTAATTTTATGAAAAAGTATGTGAATAACAAAACAATTATGGGTAAAATTTGTGTTGTGAAATTTGTGTTCCTTGTTTATTTATCAATCCTACTCTAATAATATTTGGCGCTTTCTTTAAAATTTACCCTGAAGCTACTGTGGCGCCACCCTAATTGAATGCATTTTGACGGACACTTTTCATATACACAGATGATATTCCTTACCTCTACCCTCCATACGTTTGAAGTAAGCATTATTCAATATTCTTGTATCATCCGATGGTAAGTATCGATCTTGTTACCATCTGTCGATAAAAAAACATATTTAAAAATATTTCTTTTACATATATTTTTGTTAAATCTTTCAATTATTTAAATATTTACAATCTTTATGAATTTAATAATATTTCTATAAGAATAATAATATATGTATAAATATATTAATAAATTGTTTATACATATTACTGACTGATATAAATCGTATGCACAAAGATAAATTTGAATTCAAATATTCGTAGAACAATTTCTTCCAAATCTTATTAAAATTATTTAATTACATAAATAAGATCTTACTATTATACGAAATGAAACCGTGAATAGTATAGATCATTTTATTAATAAAAATGTTTAGATACAGATTCGTATAAAACATACACAATATTAGAACAAAAATACGCACTTAAAAGCAGTTGAGTGCAACAACTATTCACGTATATTCGCGTATGTTTGATATATATATATATATCATAATTTATTATACATATTATTATAAGAAATTACGTTAATATAATAAAGTACAAGAAAATTAGCGTGAAACTGAAATATATATACATATATATAATACACATACGTATACATATACATATATATGTATACGGGATGTTCAATAACCGATGATACAAGTAAACAGGTGTTAATTGTACATTTATAAAACTCTATTGAAAATTTAGAATATACAATTTGTTTGATAAAAATAAATTTGAAAATATCTTGAGTACACCTGATTCAATTTCACGCAACTCTTAATTTTATATTTTTTAATACATTTATAAACATTATTGGTATATCTCATGGCATCATTTCTTTTATGTTTATCAAACATTGTTTTATAATTTTCAGAATTACATTTGATTTAACATTTTCAATTAAGTTTTTCACGTAGAATTATTCATTGTTTGCTTGTACAGTTAATTATGAGACACCCTTTATATATCATCTATCTTTTCAGCGAATATTGCATCTATTTTACGCGTATTAACAATTTAGCATGATAACTTTCCGTATGTAATTTTGTAATACAAACATATATATATATATATATTTTGTTTTCGTTTAAAATAATCTCTCATTTGTTGAGATAGATTATAAATTATTCTTATTTGTAAGTAAATATAATTTGAATGGTATGCTTTGCTAAAAATGAGACACATTTATGTGATATTCATAATATCCGTTCCAACAGCAGCAGCAGCAGCAGCAGCAGCAGACAAACAAACAAACGCTCACCAAAGATACACACATGTACATACATACACGAATATGAAAGTCTTGCAATTTCTTTTTCTGTTTTTTTTTTTTTTTTTTAAAATTCAGCGTCATGGATCGATATCTATTAACATAAGTCAAGTACGTTGATGAAATGTTTTCTTATTTCTTTTCTTTTGCTTATTTGTTTATTTTATTCTATTTTTTTAGTTGTTGTTTTGAGTAAGATTTGTTATATAGCGTAACAAAGGAGTTTTTCATTAGCGATTTATATTAAAAATTGAGAGAAGGGGAGAAGAAACAAATTGTTAATTGTCATCGTGAATATCTTGCCGCCATTTTTGAGCTGCCTCTCTTCTAGCATCTGGAACTAATTGTGAACGCATACCACCCAATACATTACTGGTTGCTTCGGTGGCAAGAATTATTGGTTTTACTACTGTCGGTGGTATTTGTCTAAGTACACCTCCTACAGCTCCTGATACACCTTTTTGTTCATGTTCCTCACTTGCAACGCGTACCAATTGATTGGCCGTTTCACCAAGTCCCTGTACATTTATAAACATCAATCAATTGAATAAGAATTTAATTAAATGTATTAAATGTATCATACAATGTAGTACACAAACGTGTAAAAAATCAAATTCAAATTTGCATACTTCTTTAACAAGCATATAAGCATTGGCCATGCCTTCACGAATATCCTGCGGTTGATTATATTTTTTTCTACGTCCCTTTTGTCCTTTCGATATTTGTCTTACACTTGGTCCAGGACTGACCATATCATATGCCGTTTCAGCTGTACTCTGTAAAGCATGTACCAGCCTTGACGTTAATTCCAACGCCGCCATTGCCGTAGAAGTCGTAAAACTATTCGCACCACGTTGCAAACCTCGAACAATTCTTCCATCTTTTTGATATTGTTCTATTGGTAACCAAAATAGATCACGAATACCTTGAACTGTTGAGAAATATTTTTAAGTTAAGATATTATGATTAATTTTGTTTTCAAATTAACAGATTACACGTACACAGTTGTACCAACGAGTGCATAGGACCAACTCCGCCAAGTAAACTGGGTAGTTGATTTTTTTTAATATCCTGTGACCACTCGGATAACAAAAATGTTACGAGTTTATCAAAACCCAAAAGTCCATGTCGATGTGCCAATCGTTTCAGTCTTAATTCTGAACAACTCAATTGAGCAAGACCCAATAATAGTCCAGCTAAGGGTCCGTGAGTCAAATCTACACGTTTACCATGATAATCCAATCTTACGAGAACTTCCGGTGAAAATATCACCGTCCTTAAATATTACAAAATCAAATTAATACGATAAACATTTAATTGATTAAAAAAAAATATATATATTACCTAAAATATATCGGTTGACAATCATCGCGAACTTCATGAGTTGTCTTTGGTTTAGTTTTGTTTTTTTCTTTAATCGTCAATTCATCTTCCAATAATATAAGCAAATTTTGATCTATCGTATTACTTTGCGACGTATTCGTTGAAATTTGAACATTAGGCATCGTAGTAGAATCATTTATGCTCATAACAGGTGGATGATGTGTAGGTG